AAAAAAAAAAAAAAAGGGCTGCTACACAACCAAACTCATTACACAGTCGGGGCAAAGTCCATGATAGATATCAATTTAGTCTATATCCAATCTCTCGGAGGTTACATACTTACATACAGAGATCTCTGTTATTCTTGTCGACTCATTCGCAAGCACAACGTAAATTATCCAATTCCACAAACTGTACAGCTGTATCTTCACACACCACGAACGATCCACCCTTCAGCAAAGGATCATCATACCTACCAGGGCTTTTTCACCCCGGGAGCTGTCTCCTCAGCCGTCCAAAAGTCGGCATTCTCTGGATACACCATCAACACATTGCTTTCATCATCGCCACCCAACTCATCCTCTGAACTATAATACTCTTCTCCTTCTTCTATTTCAAACAGATCATCCAAGCCATCATCATCGTCGTCATCCTCAAACTCATCAAAATGCTCGTCGTCCCCCAAATTTCGAGCATCAGCCACTCCCCCGTACATATACTCCCTTCTCCTCTCTCTTCTCATCCTCTTCCCTTCTCTCACTAGCCTCATCATCTCATCCCTTATCTCCAATATCTCATCCTTGTCCAAAAGCACACCTTTCTCACTGTACCCCTCCACCAGAAATACCGAATCCCTCTGCCCTTTCAAGCTCACGTAGAACATCTCGGGATGCCTCACCAGCATCCCTCTAAGCCGGTTCGGAAGCCCAAACTCCTTCCTAAAATGCGTCAGGTGGTCCACCAAAGTCTTCTTCTCCACCGTCATCCCCAAAACCTCCCTCACCACCGCACATGCCCTCTTCTCCGCCTCCACAGACTCTTTCCTCAAATCCACCGCAATCGTCCCGTACGGGCACACGCTCGGGACTTCCCCGAACCTAACGAGAAACTCGCGATGGCGCCTCTTCACGTTCAGCCCCTTCCGCAGCCTCAAATGTTTGAACTTCAACGGGCGATCCACTATCAGCCCGCGGGACTCGTCCTCATCACGCAGCGGCGGGAGGACCTCAGCAAGGATTGGGTCCCACGCAACAAGCTCGAGTGCCCGCCCATACGAAGTGTCAATGGTCCTGAATCTATCCGGGTAGTCGTTGCATAGTCGAGAGCGGAAGTTGGTGGGAAGGCCGAGGTCAGGGCCCAAGTGCACGAGCTTGGAGAGGAGGAGCCTGTGGTGAGGTGAGGCGAGCATGAGGAGTTTCTGGAGCTTGGAAGCAAGATTGTCGGACATTCGCCTCTTGAGATCGGTTTCCCTTTTGGCCAGGACGGCTGCAGGCGGCGTTAGGCGGACGCAAAGCTGAGAAAGAGGGCCGGCGGCGTTCAAAGGGAATGGTGGGGTCGGGATGGAAAACAGCTCGAAAACTGTCGGGTAGCGGCGGATCATGGACAGGAGGGAGCGGGGTTTGGGTAAGGACAGGTAAGAGCGGCACTTATATAGAATTTGTATGGGCATGAAGTGCTTGGGTTTGGAGAGGAGGAGGGTCTTGAGCTTCTGCACGAACCGTATCTTGTTTTGCCTCACGATGTGCCGGTCGAGCCTAGGGTCACGGACCAATTTGTGAGGGGACGAGGAGCATGTGATCAGAAAAGGTGGAGGAGTCTTGAGTTGGGGGTGTTGTGTTCTTCTGATTATCATCAGTTTGGGTGGAGTTTGAACAAAATGGGATTGAAGAGATTGTGATGGTGTATGGGTGTGCCGTGGAGTAGGAATGAAGGGAGAAAATGGTAACAGTGCCATTGTCATTGCTCAAACTCTTAGGCGCATTTAATCAAACAGGTGGAGTGCAATTAGTGAGACACCCCTGAGCGGTGATGGCAAGCAAGAGCATCAATCAGCAATTAGGAAGAGAGATTATACGGGAAAAGGGCGATGAAATAACTGTGGAAGGTTCACCTGTATCAAACCAACTGTTGGGGGTTGGGGGAGGGGAAGAATGGACGCCGTAAGTAGTGCCACTGTTAGATTATTGCGCAAGAAGACGACAAGGATCGGCCTCCCTTCTCATTTATTGCGATGATAAAAAAAAAAAATATCTGTTCATGTGT